GATGTATTTATAAGTTACATAGTGATGAAGTCACTCTCCATTTTGTGAACTGATATAGTCCTCCTCTATTTTTGCATAACAGTGAGATATGCATAAGGAGCTGTGAGCAATGGGTATGGTCATAATAAAGCATGATGACAGATAGCTAAAACTGCTCAATCTGACTGTGTCCACCACTAACCATGAAGCCTTTCTTCCGGTGATAATTTAATCCACCCACCTGCCAGAGCCTAAACACTGCCACTGGAATTCTCTGGCAGTGCTAAGGAGAGCTCTGGACAAGTCCTAGCAAAAGGGTAACTCCTTTGGGTACAAATGACCTCACTGTGCCTATTTCTACAGCTGAATGCCTTAAAGTTCTCTCTTTAAGTTGTTAAAGATGATCACAAGGCACTGGTTACCTCGTTATTATATATGGAAAGTTAGCTAATTTAACCATCTTCAGAGCATTATATGCTTCACACATGCTTGGTTTAAATAAAATATTTATTATTTAAGTTAATTAAGTTCTTATTTAATTAAGTTCTTATTTCACATAATAAGAACTATTCTTGGAGCTCCTGTGTGTGGCTGTGGGTATAGGGGAGGGAAGTACCAAGAATCCACAATTCTACACTCAACTGTTTCTACAGGTAAAATATTTTCATACAAACAATGTCCAACTCACAGAAATATTCATGCTCAGATGAAATACTATTGTACAAATGGACATTTGTTTTTGTTTATTTTGAAATTTGAGGAAGAAATTAAAACTTGGGAGAGAAAGGAAACTAAACTTTTAATTGGTCATGATTTTAAACTAAATTCAGAAAACTTTCTGTAGGAAATAAAATTTTCACTTGTTTGTTAAGTCTATGCTAAAACAGATAGCCATCTACAAATGTTAAGCTTTTTCTATGGGTGAAAATTCATCATCAGAGTACTTGGAAAGGATGAGAAGCGGTGATTAAGACCACGGCACGTGCTTGAAAATGCATTTAAGGTAAGGACTGAAATCAAAACACCCCATCCTTCAGTCTGTCTCGCTCACACCTCCCCTGGCCCCAACCCACCCCCAAAGGCGCGAAATGCATTTCTATGCATTCAGAACTGAGGCTGGATAAATGGGAAATATGCCAGCCTAAGCTATTCTTTACATCTGTTAAGATTTATTTCTTTCATTGTTCTTCATTACCAACGTATAAGTAGCGGATTTTTACTTTAAAATCATTTGAATCAACTGAGGAGTCAGAATACAGCACATTCTGTAGGTCCTTTATTCTTTCATAGGAAAGGTTCCGGAAAGTTTTTTTTAAGTGTTTTAGAATTCCAGTGAAAACGTGATTTGGTATCAACAACGGAAAGTTTTTTCTTTAGAATCCACTAGCGATACTGAGGCCATTCTTGCTAGAGTTATTTCCACTGTGAGTCCACCCCTGGGATTACCTGTAGTTCATTCCCATGTCTCTTCTCACCCCCCCCAACCCCCACACACACACATTCACCGATATTCACGGACAGCAGTATTATCTAAAGATGTCCATGAATGAACCCCTGAACCTGGGTTCCTGGGGAGGGGTAAGAACAGAAGAAATCTTCAGTACGAGTCTCCAGGGCATTCTCACCTACTGTAATCGGTGGGGATCTGACTGATCATGCTGACACTATTGTAATCTACAGCATCATCTTCAAGAAGGTAACTGTGTTTTTCTCTCTCCTTTAGAATACACACCTGTCGGGAATGAGTTGCCAAGATGGGACATACTTGTTCCACTTATATTCATACATTAGAATCAGCAGTATCTTCACGACTTTATCACTCTAGGGTATGGAACAAGAACAGCTTTTCAAAACACACTTTAAACGGTTGTTTTGTTTGATAGAGACAATTCCTCATTAAAAGAGGAGAAATAGACCTTTTTTTAATCCCTTCCATAAAAGAGTTGGAGGTTTCAGGCACTAACCAGGGAGCTCTGGGGGCAGAGTGGGTTAAGTACTGGGCTGCTAACTCCAGAGTTGGTGGTTCGAGTCCACCAGCTGCCCCTTCAGGAAGAAGATGAGGTTGTCTGCTCCCATAAAAACACTAGGGGACAATCCTATTCTGTCCTCAAGGTTTGCTGAGTGCAAATCCACCTGCTAGCAGTGGGCTTGGGGGTACTAAGCAGAGACAGGAGTCACATTTAAATAATCAAAGTTAAGACTCTTGAGAAACATCTCACTACTTTGTTTCAGGAATCATAAAACAGCAAAGCGTTTAAATACAGGAAAGGCAGAGACCAGGGGCAAAGATGACAGCATGGTCTTTGTCTTTCTCTCTTTGGCCCAGCCACCCCAGCGTCCCTTCTTGCTTTTCTTGTGCTCATTTTAATCCTCCATATTCCTCTAAGGAGATGTACTGGTTTAAAAACACATATCCCAGAGAGAGGCACAGCTTACACTGGCACAGACCTATCTCACAAGATTGTGGTGAGAATGAAATGAGTTAATAGATGTAACGTCATTCAAGCCATGTCCGACGCACAGCAAGCCCTCCTGTTAGTATTCCTTTACCTTGTCTGGATCTGGCTTGCGCCAGGGGCCCTGGGAAGCTGGGGGGAGTACGTGGAAGACAGAACAGGAAAGCTCTTCCCTTTGATGCTCACACACTGACAAGTGCCTCCTACAAGCTCACTTCTTATGTGATGGGGCAACGGGTGGAAACCTGGATATAATCTTTTGGGTTCTTTATAGAAAACAAGTCTCACCGGGCCACACATAAAAGGATGCTCACTCAGAATTTTCTCTGGATCCAAAAGGCTCATTAGTCGCTGTTACTAAGCTTTAGCAGACATGAAGAATGACTGTGGGTTAACATATACACTTAGAAAGGAAATTCCACTCACATTAATTAGCAAAAATATATCTTGCCAGTTAAAAACCAGGGGCACTGAACAGAGGAGTAAAGGGATCACACTAACCAACGAAGCCAAGTTTCAGATAATTCAAGTAAAGACTACACAGGCTACAGCCACAGCAGTAGAGTGGAACGCAGAAGGGCAACTGGGATCACCTTCTCTGCTCTCATCAGAAATTACTCCACTTGGAGCCATGTTGCTGTTAGGGTGGGTGCCAGAGTAAGGTCCAACCCATACCGACCCTATGTACAATGGAACAAAGCACTGCCCGGTCCTGCACTATCCGTGCGATTGGTCCTGTGCTGGAGCCCATTGTTGTAGTCTCTGTGTCAGTCCATCTCCTTGAGGGCCTTCCTCTTTTCACTGCCCAAGCCTGATGTCCTTGTATAGGTCCTTCTCTAGGGACTGGTCTCTCCTGACAGAGAAAGTAAGAGGAAGTCTTGCAGTCCTTGCCTGTAAGGAGCACCCTGGCTGTGCTTTTTTCCAAGACAGATCAGTTTGTCCTGTTAGCAGTCCATGATACCTTCAATCTTGTTCTCCAGCACCACAATGCAAGTTTGGCTTTCCTTATTCAACGTCAACTTTCCCATGCATAGGAGGCAAATGAAAATACCCTAGCTTGGGTCAGGTGCACCTTAGTCTTCAAAATAATATCTGTTGTTTTTCAATACGCTAAAAGAAGTTTTGTGCCGCGGATTTACCTGTAGATCTTTTAAATAAAGTGCCCATAACTTCAGCCTTAAAGTAATTAGGCTAATAAATCACAGAGGCTTGAAAAAGTTTATGAAAAATAGAATTAAAATTTAATAGAATTTTCCACAAATTTGAAGCTCCCTTGTACCTGTGGGCTAGTAAGAAGGCCAAGCCTACATGTCAAAGGCTGGAGCTAGGAGAAGGGTCTGGATTAAACAAAACTCTGGAATAGTGGAGGGATAGCTCACAGAGCCATAGAGCAGCAAGATAGTATTAGGTAATAGACATTGTTTATTTTGTGGTCATTCCAACTCATAATTGTAAACACTATATATTGATGACTGTAAAAGAGTGTTACACCACCTAGACCGCTAACTCTGTAATCCATAAGCTTTGGCATACTGCTACCTTTGTCTACTTTCTTCAGCCACAATTAAGTCCTACGGACGCACATATTTCAGCCTGCTGGATGGTAAATGCAATCGCTTCAGCTTGCTGATACTTTTGGATAAAATGTATTATTTTCTATATTGTACAAGAGTTACCAGCTCAGATTTCAATTCATCAAGAAGATTACTTCGTCAAACACGACAAAGAAAATGTTGGTTTTCATTTCTATTGTTGAAACTTTCTGAAAGTATACAATAAAAGTTTGTTCAATCAATCTCTGGGCTCGAGCTATTATAATTTACACAGGAGAAAGATGGGGCGTTCTACCCCCATAAAGTGTTACCATCAAGGAAGCCAAAAGGGACATTTTACCCTGCTTTATAAGGTCACTAAAGAGCCCTGATGGCACAGATGGTTGGGCTGTGATCTACAAGGGTATCCGTTTGAAACCATCAGCCACTGCTTAGGAGAAAGATGGGGCTTTCTACTCCTGTGAAAAGTTACACTTTGGATCCTCATAGGGCCAGTTCTACGCTGCCCTGTAGGGTCACTACGAGTTGGCGTAGACTGGATGGTGGTGAGTTCGGCTATAAGGTCACTATGAGTCAGAACTGACTCAAGGGCAGTGAGTGCTGTACTTTAATGGGCAGCATATCATCCTGATGTATGTACATGGGTCACTATGAGCCAGAACCAACTTGATGTCCTCTAACGACAACCACACAATTCACAGAATATGCTGAGAGACCCAAAATAATTCGTTACATAACAGGATCTTATTTAGTTTTTACATGTTGTGTGTACAGATGTGTGGGTGTTTGTAAACACACAGAGCGTTTTTATCATCAAGTCACAGTAATGACAACATTTAGAGTATGACTGCACAAGAATATACATCCAAGAATACAGGGGGGAAAGCACTGTATATTTTACTGCTGTTTAACAAACTGTTCTGTGTACACTCAGGGAAACACAGTATTTGCTATAATATAATCAGGATCAACACCAAATACAGACCGAAACAGTCAAAGGTGCATCTCCCACCTGGACATCCTTGTATTTGTCCCGCAGGTCCAAGAGCCGGTGGTACGCTGTCATGGCTTCGGAGAACTCCCCGACATCTGTGCTGGTGAGGAGGTAGTTTTCCCAGATCTGCCAGTGTTCATAGTTGCACTTGAGAGCCTCTTGTAAAGTTCTAAAAGCTTTTACTCTATTGAAGATAGAATTTCAAAGAGAGTAATAATGAGCTCCCTTTATTCACACAAACCAGAGGAAAATGTAGAACATGAATTTAGACTCCAGGTAGTCCTTATCATTCGTGTTAATAAGCACAAGTAGAAGACCAGACAGCCCCAAACCATCACAAATTGTTCTACAGAACTCAGTGACAAACCCTGTGGCAATATTAGCATACAAAGAGACTCCTACTTACTCCTTCTCTGCACCTACTCACTGGTAACAGGACATTCTATAGAAGAATCATTCACCTAAATCTTCTCAAAGTAGGTCCTGTCCTAAAATGATCATTTACCCGCTTAGCAACTATCTGCTGGTTTTTCCCACTGAGGTTCAGTTCAGATCATAGCTGACATTAGTGTTGATGGAGCTCGACATACTAGACAGGTCAGGGTTGGCTCTGTTTGTTGTGAGCATTTGGTTCACTGCTTAGTTCCCTAGACTTAAGGGCAGGTCATCAAAGTGGCAGGGATCTTGGGAGTGCTCTAAATTCAAACTGGGCCAGAGAGTTGGATAAACATACTTATAAGGAGAAAATAGATAAATATTTGAAATCAAGGCTTCAAGGTTTTTTATACAGAATATTTACAGTCACAGTAAGTGATGGGCTGGGGGTGTGAACATGAGCGGAATATTAAAGGCATTCTCTTGCTGAACAAAAAGCCTCACAGCCATTGGGTCAATTCCCACTCACAGTGACCCTGAATCAGCGCAGAACTGCCCCTGGGGGCTTCTGAGAATATACTTTGTTTAATGGGAATAAGTCGGAAGCCTGGTTTTCCCTGAGGAGTGACTGGTGGTTTCAGACTGCAGACCTTTAGACTAGAAACCCTTTACATTTCAAAAACCTCAATTTCAATCTTAAAATCAAAAGGTTCCAGTTTCTTACATCGAGAGTGTAACCACATAAAGACCAGGTACAGAAAGGTACTCTTAGTTAACAGATCTCTCTGTCTGCGACCCCTACAATCCCTAGTTCCCCGAGTTCTCGCGTCTACCTACCCTCGCCACCAGCAATGCCACAACCTCACCTCCCACTTCCAACAACGAGCAGCTGTCAGGTACGTCCTGAGGAAAACCACACAGAGGAACTGGGGACAATGGGGAGAGCAGGCTTTGAGTCTACTAAATCACTAACATTTGCTTTTAACTAAGGGGGTGGGGGGAGAAGGCACAAAGTCATTTTCAATTAAAAACTAAACCAAAACAAAAGGAAAAGATTAAACCCACCAGATTTGTGGTCATTTAATTATATAAATATGCAAGATTACAGAAATAAAATAATAAGACCACATCAAATACAGAAATTCTAACTAGAACGATACAATATGGCAATAAAAATTTGTTTAAGTAAAAGGTAAGACCAACTTTATAAAGTGAAGAAAGAAACAAGGTCTATTACTGAGACAAGCACTAGAAACAGAAGGTAATTAAGATTAAGTAATGTTTTCTAGAGCAAGTAAGTCTAATCCACAGATGTATGTCTGTTGTTTAAGATTCATTGCAGCCCTACACCCAACAAAAGGGAAACATGCCCATCACTTATTTTTCCTAGACATAATTACTCTAAGATGAAAAAGTAAAAAAATTACATCATAGTACTAAAATATTAAATAGCAATAAACACTTGTTAGAACTATCTTTCCTTTTCAAAATGTAAAATTCAGATTGGTAAATGACTAAATAAATACCTTAAAATACTTGAAATTATGATTGTAAGTGATAAATCTATAACATCCAAAATATTAAAAAAAATAGAAAGACAAAAATAAACAATGAAACAGCCAATATCTAGCATAATTGATGACTGTTACAATAATATTTTTAAGGCATTGTTAAATAATAATGCAGAAAATAAGAATACAAATTAGCTAAAAATTGCTGTTTGACTTCTTGTCCAAAATGAAAAAGTGAATTTATCATTCTATACACCTGCCCTGTGAGGCACATTAAATAAGATGAAACACAAAAATAGCTGGATTCAAAAAGCAAAATTTTATAAAAAATAGGTAGGATGAATCCAGAGGAGAAAACAACTGGACCGGTGGCTGGGGGTAGGGTGGGGTGGGAGAGACATGGGAGAGGAGGGGGCAGGGTACGGGAGTGGGGAGCCAGCAAACTCAAAGATAAGGGAATGATGAGATCTAAAATTATTGGTGAGGAGGGTGTATAATGCCTGGTGGAGTTTGATCAAGAACAATGTCTCCGAGAGGAAATACTGAGAGCCGAATGGAGGGTGACCATGATAGTGGGAGAGCAGAAAGGTGAAAGGCAATAGAGGGGGTGAAAAATAGGAGGCAAAAGCTATTTATAGAGGTATAGCTATAGGCACATATATATGTAATTATACTAATTCATAATGAAATGGATAGAGGCCAATGTACATATATTTATATGTTAAGTATTAAGATAGCACATGGACTCTGGGCCTCTACTCAAGGCCTTTCTTAGCACAAGAACACTTTGTTCTTTGTTCTTATAACCTGGCGCTCTTT